AGTGGCGCTGTGGCTCAAGTGGTAGAGTGCTAGCCTTGAGCTGAAGAGCTGAGGGACAGCGACCAGGCCCAGAGTTCAGGCCCCATGACCGGACCAAAAAAAAAAAATCAAATAGATTAAAAATAATGACAACCTAAAGCCGTATAAGGTTGCTTTATGACTTTACAGATTTTGAAGAAACTCTGTTACCATATGCCAGGCACTCAACAGATTTTGCAGAGGAAGTAGATTCTAGAGGATGGAGAGGAATGGGAACGTTACACGTATATAAAGGAGTAAACAGGTAACCCTGGCAGTCAATCATTAAAACACTAGCAGAACACACTAAAATAAAACAAGCATGTTCCATCTAGATGGATAAAAACAGCCATCAGCCAGCTAGATTCCAGACCACAGCAAGAGATGCCAGTAATAAGAAAAGAGAGCTACATGTAATTCTCCCCTAACTTCCTGTAGCACAAAACAATGTTCAGCTCCTATCAACATAGAATAATTGTATTGGACTGCTTATTTAGAAAATAGACTTTAGCAGCAAAACTTCACCATCAAGGAGTGAATCTCTAAGTACAGGAAATAAACAGAAAATAATGCGTGTCAGATACTGGTATTCAGGACTACCAGCATGTACTTTCTCCTGTTGAAAAAATCATTTACTAAAGTACAGGATGTCAAGTAAAAATACCTTAACCTGACATCAAAGACCCTTCCTTCCTCTGTACCCCATCTGGTCCCACTTCTAATAAACTCTCAACTCCTACAAAAATAATGGTTTATTTTCGGTACACTAAAAATTATTAATGCCTATCCTAATCCAGGTTCATATCAATCCCTGGAATAATTTTTATTACTTCATCCAGGAATAATGTTCCCATTCCTCTCCATCCTCTAGAATCTTCCTCACAGAGCAAGCCTACTTCCTCTGCAAAATCTGTTGAGTGGCCTGGCATATGGTAACTGAGTTTCTTCAAAATCTGCAAAGTCATAAAGCAACCTTATACGGCTTTAGGTTGTCATTATTTTTAATCTATTTGAATACACACAAAATCTTATGCCCTACCTATGTGCTACCCACCATATGTTTATATGTTTTTTGTCGGTCGTGGGGCTTACTTGAACTCTGGGCCTGAGCGCTTTCCCTGAGCTCTTCAGCTCAAGGCTAGCGCTCTACCGCTTTGAGGCACAGGGCCACTTCTGGTTTTCTGGTGGTTAATTGGAGATGAGTCTTACGGACTTTGTTTTGCTACCCAGGCTGGCTTTTTTTGTTTTGCTACCCAGGCTGGCTTTAAACCAAGATCCTCAGATCTTAGCCTCATGAGTAGCTAGGATTACAGGCATGAGCCACTGGGGCCCGGCTCCTTATGTGTGTTTTAGAACAGTAAAAGTAACTGATCTCCAGACTTCGGTAATCTCCTCAAAGTACAAGTTCAAAAAATAGCTATAAGAAAAGACCTCCTATAACTAAATTTTAGCATTGAACACACAGCTTTTCGAACATGATGAATGTAAGAAAAACACATATGTACCCACAGAAGTTAAGGTGTAAGTTTTTTCTAAAGAGCATGAATGAAGTAACAGTTCTCAATCTGCAGCCTGCATGGGGTCCCTATGAGCAAACTACCCTCGTGGTAGTGCTAACACTTCAATCTTGGCCTTTTCCCACTGCGCTGACATTTGTACAGGCCATGAGCAAAACCAGCCACCGCTGTAGATCTAGGCAGAGGTAACCAATACTCACTGCCTCTCATGACTGAAGAAATAAAATGTCTTACTTGAGAATGGTTTTGATGACGAAGTTATGACTTTTTTTTTTTTTTTTTGGTCTGGGCCTGGGCGCTGTCCCTAAGCTCTTCAGTTCAAGGTGAGCATTCTACCGTACTGGAGTAAGAGTCTCACAAACTTTCCTACCCTGGCTGACTTTCAACTGCGATCCTCAGATCTCAGCCTCATGAGTAGCTAGGATTACAGGCATGAGCCACGGGCGCCCAGCGAAGTTCTGACTTTCATTCATGCCATGCAGTCCTGACTAAAGAAGAAAAATGTCTTACTTGAGAATGTTTTTGATGAAGAAGTTATGACTTTATTCGATCTTGGCCTTGGGCACACATTTTTAATATGTAGCTGACAAGAAGTGTACAACAAGCACCAGTGCTGTACAACAGAGAACAATGGCTGTCTTGACACAAACAGACTAGTAATCCAGACTCTTACTCTGGGCAACGACAAGGAACATTACAAAGACAACTGGTAGCAGATGCCAGTGATAAAACTCAACCTTTCTATTTAAAACCTAGATTTTTACAAGATTTCTGTCAGAGTCCTGCAACCAAAGGCAAGCAGGCCCCTGCTCAAAGATGAACACACTGGATTTACCACATGTACTCAGGGAACAGCCTGGGGATAATCAGGGGTCTCAGAAAGATGGCATTGAAATGATTTACTATAAGATCTGGGTGTTGACTTGGAGGGAGCCTAGAATGTGGGGTTCCCTGTACAAGGACTTCATTAGAAGGTGTGAGATTAGACCAGGGAGCTCCCCAAAGTAGGCCATGACAGAACTTAACCCCAAAGGTCAAAGAGGAGTTAGCAGGCAGAAGGACTAGCGAACGCAGAGGAAGGAGCTTTCTCTCCAAGCAGAGGAGAGCCTTCCAGCTGTACAGTAAGTAGAACAATCGCAGAGTGTTGGTAGGGTTCTAGTCAAGACGTGCTGAGGCCCTGGGTGTGGGTATAAAGAGAAGGCATCGGTGTGAAAGAAGCTAAAATTGACTATAAAGGGCTTGGTATTGCACTGGATGTCTCAGGTGAAATTAAAATTAAAAGCAAGTGAAGGCCGAATGTCTTTTAGTACCATCTACCACTAGTGTATTTTCTTCCTCCTAAAAATGACTAACAGTAACACTAATACAAGCACATTACCTGGTGTTCTTCTGAGGAGTCAGCATAACCTGACCTTCTGTCGTGATGTCTATAATACAGTGTTCAGGAAGAATTCCCATTCCACACAGCTGGATATCTTGGGAATTTGCTGACCCTATCAAAGTATGTTCCTAAGAAAGAATCAGATTTACTCATGAATATTGTATTCTCACATGTACACAAACTAAAATTACCTACACTGCACCTTCATTGGTCTTCAGCTAACAATCTGGAAAACAAAATGGAGTCCTGGCTTTCTCTGAAATTCATTCTGCAAGTTTTATTTCCTTATAAGGAAAAACATGATGTTAAATATATTATTCAAGCCTTTAAGGTCTACAACTATCATTTCTTCGTGGGGCTTGAACTCTGGGCTTGGGCGCTATCCCTGCACTCTTCAGCTCGAAGCGAGCGCTCTACCTCTTGAGCCACAGCACCACTTCCAGTTTTCTAGTGGTTAACTGGAAATAAGAGTCTCACGGACTTTTCTGCCTGGGCTGGCTTTGAACCGTGATCCTCACATCTCAGCCTCCTGAGTAGCCAAGATTCCAGGCGTGAGCCACCCAGCTACAACTATAATTTCTATCCACATCTATATCCTTCATTTTCCATCACAGTCTTGATTCCAAATATTTTATCTGATCCTCAGAGCATGAGCTATGTATCAATAATGTACCAACAAATATAATCTGAAAAGTAGTTAACTTAGATTTGACAATACTTACCCGGTCTCAATCAAAACAGATCAACTACAAAGACAGAAGCTTTCCAAAGATAAGAGTCTGAAAAGACTAAAATTATGAGTCTTGAGGTAGCTCAGAACTTGTAACATTTTAGGTAATAAGTGTTTTATAGATGCTACCCTTCCTCCCACCAATCATCTCTCAGCTCCACTTTCTTTCTTTTTGATGGTAACAAGATTTGAACTTAGAAAGTCAAGCTCGTTTGGGCTTGCTTGGTAGGCTACTAGATACTCAAGAGGCTGAGATCTGAGGATCTCAATTCAAAGCATGCTCAAGCAGGAAAGTCCAATTAACCTCCCCCACACCAACCCCCACAAAAAAACAGATATGGAGCTATGGCTCAAATTGTAGAGCATCAATCTTGAGCAAACAAGCTCAAGGGAGAGCATCCCCCGCCCTGAGTTCAAGCCTCAGTAACACTAAGTAAACAAATAGCCTAAAGAAATAAGGGCTAGAGAGACATGGCTCAAGCAGTAAAGCAACTGCTTTACTGTGTTCAAACCCCAGTACCATCAAAACAACAACAAAGAAGAGTGAGGACTATTCTTAGTTCCTGGGCCTTAGGAAACCAGGAAGGAGGCCGGATGTGCCTGAAGGAAGACTCTGACCAAACCTGACTCAGCCATGCTTTCAATCAAGTCTCTATCACCAAAGAGGAACTCGATTTTACTTCCATCCTTCCCACCTCTACTACCTCACCCAGATCCAAAGGCCATTCATCTCTGCCTTCCTATCCTACTAGACAAAACCCATAAAGACATTTCAGAGTGAGCCACAACCAAAGCAGAACTCCTGTTCTCAACTCCCTCTGGCCCAAGAAAAGTCCATTTCCCTCATTAATAGTAATGGAACTACCATGATCTCTCAGGCCAACTAAGACTCTAGAACTGCACAGCCAGGAGAACATATTTGCCAGGTGTGACCTGTACATGCCACCCCTTTCTCTTGGATTCTATCACTAACAGGAAGGTGGAGTTTCCAGAAGAAATAGGCCCAAGGCTACCTACAGAGAAGGAAAACATCCTCTGGGCCAATTCTGTTTAGAATCTCCCTGCTCCCAAGAACAACCGGAGGGCTGAGCACTAACTGTGCCTCAGGGATCTTTTCTGTCCTGGGTTGGGGTGATGGAGAGGCGCTTTTCCTTGGCCCTAGCTTTACCCTTGGGTCTGAGTGTGGAGCCAACTGTTCCACCCCCACTGCTGGATTCATCCCTCGGCCTTGGCTCTGCTTCTTCCACCCGAAAGGCTGTCTTCATTTATGCACACAGTATCGTCCAGCATCTAGTTCTTTTCTGTACACTTGCTAGGGGAGAACTCCTACCACTTTAGTCCTAGTTATTCCTGAGATAGTGTCTCCTTTTTTGCCTGACCCAGTCTGGACTGTGCTCCTATTTATGTGCTTCCCACCACAGCTGGGATGACAGGAATGTACCACTGTTTCAAGTTGAGATAGGGATTTCAAAACCATTTTGTCGGGGCTGGCTGGCCTGGAACAACAGCAGTTCTCTAGAGCTCAGCTTCCTAAGGAGCTAGGATCTCTGGCGCCCAACTCCCAACATCTTCTGACTTCATCTTCCACAGGTAGGTCTCCCTCTTACCACACAGTAATTTCTTCCATCTCTAAATCCTGATTACAATGAACTCAGTAAACACTGTGATTTGTGATTTGCTATTTCACAAACATGATTTCCTTCCTTCTCTGCTTATGTGGCCAGCATTGGGTATAGGACTTTGCAACTGGCTCCAATCAGCATAATACACAATACATAGTGGGTGTTAAATATCTGCTGACAGAATGGATTACAAACCCGCAGGGGCAGAAGACACTGACAGGCAAAGGTCTAATACAAATTTTAGAAGAAAACTTTCGTTTTCAACAAATACATTGAGTTATACACAGAAGCCTTAGAGACACAAGAAATAGACAAAGTTCTAATTATAGTATTCACATTGTAACAACTTAAAAATCTCTCATTTGGGGTTATAACCTATTGCGATTCAGATGGTGATACATTGGGAGCACAAATACTGGATTCAAAAAGCTCAGTTCTGCCAAAGTCTCACTGTTTAAGTCAATGGGCTCTTTATACTATGTTCTAAGCACTGTAATAAAAACAGAGATGAGGAAAAGGAGAAATTTCTCACAAATTTTCTAGCAGGGCCTGGTGGTACATTCCTGCAGTCCCAACACTCAGGAGACTGAGGCAGTATTATTTCAAGTTTCAGGCCAGCCTGGGCTAGATAAACAGACCCTGTCTAAACCAAGATTACCTGATTCTGGAAGAATGAGAGAGCTATACAACTTGCATTAAGAACTCAGAGATGTTCATTTGCTAAAGTCATTATATCTGAGGTCAGAGGTCTCACATTTGAACTAATCTAAGAAGGGAGAAAAAAAAGGAAGAAGAAAAGAAATAAAACCCACCAGTTCTTGGGCCTTGGAATTCCTCTATCCCACCCATGGGTGTCATTTTCTGAACTGCACTGGGCTCACCCTGCTGAATGTGCTTTGTCATGAATATGGTCTTGCTGTGGGGTGACTTGGGCAGTGAAGACGTCCTCACTGGCTCAGAATCAGCTCAAACAGGGCTGACCACAGCCTGGAACAGAACCAAACACCTCCACACAGATGACCAGAAATGCTCTGACTTCTCTCCAAAAGTCACTCCTCAAACAGCCTCTTTGTTAAACTTCTGGTTAAGAAACAGATATGAATCAGCTTTTTCTTCCTTAGGGTGTGGGTCTGTGTGTTCCAATTTAAACTACATCATAGCAGTTCTGAGAGGAAAAAGAGGAAAAGGCAGTGTATTTCAGTCCGATTTTGATACTGTATCTCCCTAAAGCTATGAATGTCTGTGGCTGACTTTCTGACATCCTCAGGAGTCCTGAGGGATGGGATGGGATAACACATCATCTCTCATAGGCAGTTACTACTTAAGAAAGTGGATGTGGAATACTATATAACTCCTAGTATTTCTGTAGATAAAGTTCTCCTACATTGCCAGTCCTCATCCTGCTAGGCAGCCAGAGATAGCTATCATTTGCAAAAGCCAAGACCATGGCCCTGCATCTCCACCCCCTTATTGCAGCCTCTGCCTTGTGCCACAAAAACCTCAGACTTCGGTGTTACAACAGTATGTGTCAAAGACAGGTATTAATAGGTAGAAATACTTACTAACAAAGAAGCCATACAGAAATGACACAAAGCAATTATTCTAAGTTATCCTGTGGAACTGCTGGGTACTCACTGGTAGCTCACACCTATAATCCTAGCTACTCAGGAGGATGAGATTTGAGGATCGTGGTTCCAAGCCAGCCAGGGCAAGAAAGACTGTGAGATTATTATTTCCAATAAACTACTCAGAAAAGGCCAGAAATGGTGCGTGGCTCAAGTGGTAGAGCTGTAGCCCTGAGCAAAAGATCTCAGAAAAAGCAAAAGATCTCAGAAAAAGCACCCATACCCAGAGTTCAAGCCCCAGGACTGGTAAAAAGAAAGAAGAAGAAGAAGGAGAAGGAGAAGAAGAAGAAGAAGAAGGAGAAGGAGAAGAAGAAGGAGAAGAAGAAGAAGAAGAAGAAGAAGAAGAAGAAGAAGAAGAAGAAGAAGAAGAAGAAGAAGAAGAAGAAGAAGAA